GTATTTAGTTTTCTATTAAAACTCTCTTTAACATTCTTTCTATATATTCAATTGTTGCAAATAAGTATCATGAATAAAAATTCAATAAATAAAACATTTAATTAGAAATTTTCATATACAAATGCAAAGTGTAAAAGCCGAAACCCAGCTAGCTTAAAATTAGTGTTGATGGCTCGGTAGTTGGTGATCCAGGCAGGAACATGGATGAAGATGGGTGAAACTCATTTAGATATAGGTCACTGGTAATGTATATAAAACATGACCAGCTAAATTTTAAGCCATTTGCATTTTTTTTTTTTAATTTTTAAGCTTATAAGCTCTTAAAACATAAGCTGATCTATTTTGAAGTAATATCAAGAGTAAGAGCTCTGATTGAGTTAGCTTAATTTTTAGAAGTTATTAAGATAAAAGAAGGAAGCAGATAAAAGTAGCTTCTTGTTTGGGACTAATTTTCAGCTTATACACCAAAAGAACTTACTAAATACTTATAGCAGTCTATTTTTCTCAAACTCAGACTATAAGCTCCAAAAAGAAATAAATCCAACCAGGATATATATATTGGTTTAAGAGAAGAAAACATGTGCAAATTCGTTAGCAAATGCAGATTCATTAGCAAAAGGGAGCCAACATGTAAAACCAGGGGCTTTTAATCATGTAAAGATATCCAGTTCCAAAAAACTGTTTAGCAATATGATTTGATTTAATATGAATGGAGTACCACTTCAATAATAATAATAACAGATAGTTCTAGACATAGAGTATAATAGTGTTTGTTCACATAGCCTTGAACAGGAAACAGGAGGACTTCTATGCCATAATTAAACTCCATTTTGTGAAATGATCATATCTCCAAATAACCAGTACAGAATGAATGCATCATGATATGATGAACGGAGACCTGATGATCCAATAACAAGAGGTAGATGATTTTCATATGTGCAACTAAAGTACCATGCTTCAAAAATATTATTCTGCGAGTCATAAAAAGATGCTAGGGCCTTAAATCTCACCCCAAGGCGAACTGTTGGTGATGATGCAATCTGGGATAGAAGTGGTCCAATCCTTTGGGCCATTGGGACAATAACAGGTGAGAATAAAGGGATAGCTAAACTTGCTTCCTGTGCAATCATGATAGAGCATGATCATCCTCAAATCCATGGGGAAAATAAAGAGTCAAATGGATAAAATGAAAAACATAAAATTGCCTGATTTAATATAATAAGCTTCCCTGAGAAGAGGAAAACACAGAGAAAATTCAACGCGTTCGTATGAAAACAGGGTAAGGAGCAGATAGGACCTTCCCCACTTAACAAACTAGGTGTATACTCTACCTTAGTGTAGCATTTCATCTCACAAGAGACTCCATGCAAAACCTATTATGTGGCACACCACTAGAGGCAAACTTCTCTGTCTTTGAAATGTACATAAGAACTCAATTACCTTGTTGTTGAATGCCATGAACACATTCCCATTTCTTTGCACAGCATATCTTGATCCTGAACAATGAAGCCTTTAATCTAATAAAACCAGTGGCACCCTTAAAAGTAACAAAATATTTGAAGATTTCCAATACCAATCAAGAGGTGGATGACAGATCCCAAAGAATGGCCAATTCCAAAAGTAGGAAGATCTTGTACCTGTATAACGAAACAGTCTTTAGACTCCTATGTCTCTTTGTTCCTAGTTACACATAAACCATCAGTAAACTATTTTTCTATATATATTTTCCTCTTTTGTGAAAAAAGAATTCAATGCAGAAATGGCATTTTTGCATATTATATTTCCAAACTCACTGTTTCTTGCAGAAACCGGCAACATCTATCAAATTTAAACTGTACTTCATCTGCAATGAGGAAGTGGTCAAATCCACTTGCGTAAGGAGTTGCAATTACCAATATACCCCTGGTTGACCAAAAAAAATTAAATGGTTAATTTGTTCTGGTCTTAGCAACAAATGATTCTAACAGTCACTTTAAAACTAAACTTTCTAGGACACAACCAACAGCAAAATTGCAGCTTAAAGAATTAAAGGTCATAGTTCAAATTCTAATCCTAAATTATTGAAAAAGGAAATAGAGTTTGAGAACCGAACAAATACATCCATCTTGCATGCATACCAATGGACTGGTATCAGGTAACACAATAAATGGGCAATCACCCCTTCATACTATAACAACTCACTTTTCTGAAAGGCGCTCAAGGAACAAACGGTAGGTAAGCTGAGGCGCTGCTCCAACAAATATACCACCAATAAAATGAACAACTGACTTAGGACTCGAGCTTCTTGGCTTGAGGATCCATGCTCCCTATAAGAATTTGATGAGGAACTCATCAGAGAAGATTAGAAGGACCAACTTTTTTTTTCTCCAAACTGATAGATTACTAAAATGAAGAAAAATATATGCATCCAGATTCTATATGTTCACACATTAATCCTTGACAACAGAAATAACTCAACGTACACACGTTAATTCATCTCATGCCCTTCTAATTTGCCCCTGCTAAAACTAAGTAAATGACACTAGGTTCAAAATTCATTCTCAAAGAGAAAAATATGAACTTGTAGAAACAATGTTAAAACAATTCTTAGTTCCATAATAATGAGTCAGGAATTCTAACAGGAAAATACGACTGATGAGAAACAAACGGGGCATTACCCTAAAACAAAAAGGTAATCGAGAGAGAAGTTCTATCATAGATTACCTCAACCTCAGTCCAGTTTGTGGAAGGACCCCAAGGACCTTGGGATTGTTTTACAGTCTCCGTCAGTAATCTGAGAATTCACAGAGATACCTCTCAATCATAGAGTACCGGTTTTTAATTTATGGGTAACGATCAGTGATGAGAAATTGAAAAGCTTTAAGGGTTGCAGACGGGGGCCATACCTCTCAATCTCAGCATAAAGTTGAATACCCGTAGGTTGTGACTGTTTCTTATTCGTATCATCGTTGTTGCAGTAGATTCTGCCATTAAAATTCTTGGTCTTTACAGAACGAAGACAAGGAGGATGAAGGTGAGTAAAGTCAGAGGAAGCAAGAGCGTTGAAGAATGGAGTCAGGGGCTGAATAGACGTGGATGGTTTCCATAGATAACTTGAACTAGGCATCTTCCACTAACAAAATTTGAGATCCTGGTCTTGGTCTATTTATCCTTTAATTCGCAAGGAATATGCACATAACCACCTTGTTTGGACAGGAACAGGATAAATGGGATTAATTAATCTTAATTAATTATCCATGGAAGATAATTATTCTCTCCTTAAGTATTGGGCCCTTAATTAACGAGACCCAATCTAAGTTCTTTTCGTCTACTTATTATTTGAGCCTAAGTTAAGATCCACCTAGAAAATTTAGTAACTTCAATTAATTGGCCTATAAAACAATTGATTTTTTAGTTACTTTATCCTAATACAAAGTAATTAATTAAATAATTTAACTAATTGATTTAAATTAAGGGATTTAATTAAGTTTATCATATTTACTTCAATAGTTTCATACTAATGTTTATATGATAAACTTAGTATCGTATAGACACATATTAAAACTTAATTTGATTTT